TTACCAATGAGTGAACAGTGAATAATTAAACTCAAAACGGACGTAACAAGTTAATATTTTCTTGACATTTTGTTTAAAACATTCGCTACTGCCAGATTATCAATGTGAATAAGTATGTTTCTTGTATAATTTATCAAACTAGTGTTATTGGAATGATTTCAAAATATGTTATATCTTCAATTATTTCTGAACTATTCCATTCTTTATGCCACTCAATTGACCATTAATATAAATGCACACCCGTTACTTAATTCACCAGCACTATCTGTATATAGTTCAAAATAAAAATTTGATATCCATCCTATATCATTTAAATACGAAATCCTATTATACTGTTCCAAAAATAATTTCCATATCAATAGATAAAAGTGAAACGATTTTGACACTTTGTCCATGGTCGAATACAACTAAACGCTCTTCCAGCAGGTATAGCCTTCGCGTAGAAAACTAATGAACCACATATTGGCTGCAATTCTTTTAACGTTACTTTTTTCATGGCTTATAAATTATTAATTCTGTTTAAAAGTTCTTCAATCTTTTCATGTGGAATTTAAACAAGCATATTAATAGTATCAATTGTAAGACCCAGATATTCAATCAGTGTAGTTGGACCTTCATTTTTTTTATTTGCAAGTGAGACTACAATATCTTTGCAAATTTCATCATTCTGAAACATCAGTTGTTCACATTCATCAGAATTTGATTAGCCAACAAAATTAAAAATCTTCCAAATAGTGGTCTATATTATTTAAACCAGACTTGTTTTAAAAACCAATTCAAAAAGGCTAAAAACTTCTCAAATTTAGCATATGAAATTAAGCAGTCCAATGTCATTGCCTCGTCTATGTAGTATTCATCTACAATTTTAAAACCAAGTAGTAAAAATCTCATGTATAAACCGGAAGTAATCAACAGCATTATCAAATGAAGAATATTTAACGAGGTAAACCTTTCATCAATGAAGTCGTTAACGCTGCTCAATGGCTGATATGATAAATGGGTAATCAGACGAAAAACTGTTTTTTTTTTGTTTTTTTTTTTTTACCTAATCCAATTGGAGAATATCATAGATTAGATATTGGTCTTTTTACAAAAAGGACCTGCTATTCTTCATAATGATATTTCAGATTCAATCTTACATCTAGCTTCAATAGGATTTGACAAAACAGATTTTAAATTTTTGATTCAAGTGGAAATCTTGGTCAATCATGATTCAAGCTAAATCCGAATTTAAAACCAATAAACAAAATTTGTTTATCCTGTTCATTAGGATAATCTTAATTGTTCAATATTAATAGGTAAATGTCCCTTCTTCCAAATATCATATTTATCCTTTGACAATTCTGAAAGAAAAGTTAACTATATGTCATTTGATTAAATCTAGGGACGGAATACCTTGTGTTTATTGGTGGCCTGTATCTATTTGTTGAACAAATGAAGGCCTGTTTTGTTGAAACTGGACAGACATACGAGATCTATTTTGGATAAACACTGGTGGCATCAATGATCCCTTATGAAAACCTTGGTTACTTTGTAAGCTATCAAATCTAACACATAAGACTGGATGTTGTAATGAACATTTCATACAGTTATGTCTGTAAAACACTGAGATTTATCACAATAACTTTTAAAGTTATAGTCATAACAAGGTCTTTGTAAGTTAACGTGGCAAACTGCAGGATTAGGTGTGCCTTGCGATCCCTCTACAATGAATTTCAACCAAATAAAGCCAGCAATCTCAGACAAAGATTTGGAGTGTTTTAGTGATACACTTAATCTAAATTTTCTATCATACGGGTAAACTCTGTCAAAAGGTGCATCTGATATAAAATCATTTATGATTAACATGTATGTAAACAAGTCTTGTGCTAAGCTAGCATGTTTTTGGAGAAGAATTTTAGAAAAAAATTGCAAATGCTTCAGTCCATAATTCAATGTTATTTATTGTATTGTCCTTTGAAGGTTAATGAGAAATGACAAGCATTCCATTTTTAACAGTAACACTTTGTTTCTGGTCCAAACTACTATAATATTGACTATTTTGTTTAAGAAGAGTACCAAAATCAACATTTTTACAATTCCGAATTTTCTCTATTATTTGCTGAGAAATAATTGTGTCAATTTCATTAGAACATGGTATAAACAGAGGACAGTAGTATTTAAAGTATTATCCGGTTGAGCCTGAGCTGCCGTAGTTTTCAATTGTTTCTGAGGTGGAGGTTGATTATTGGGCTCCACAGGTTGATCTGCTTGTTGAAGCTCGGGCGCTGCACGCCTTCTTTTTCCGTGTCTTCCTCTGTTAACCACTCGGACAACTTCCTCAGGGACGGGTACCTGTTCTGGTGCTGGTGCTTCTAGAGCAGGTCGTTGAACCCCAACGTTGTTTACCCTTGGTCTTAATCTCCGGCTTACTTCATTTGTTCTCCTATTCTTTTATAAAATGAAGTCATTATAAGTATATTGTTTTTTATAAATATATAAAGATGTTTTAATTAATGAAACATTACATTGATGCCTCGGCTGCATATAGATAAAATGCTCCGTACCTAAAATATATACTATTATAAATGTTTATATAATGTACGCCTCTTAAGTCATCTATAGGTGTATAATAACCAGCAGTTATTTGAACGGCAGTTGTAAATGCCATAACATTTGTAATAATCGTGCGTTCCATAACATGATAACAGGTATAATATCAGTGTCAATTTATTGAATCAAATTTAAAGAAAGCTTTATATGCACAATAACATGCAGCAAACTAAACAGCAGTTGTATTATAATTAAATAAATGTCGTCACATTTGTAATAATCGGGCCTTCCGTAACTTGAATAACCGGTATTTCAGTGTCAATTTAGTACCTGAATTATATGCAGGTAAAGAACGTAAATTAAAATAATGTATTTGTCAGCAAGCTTACACAAGTATTCCATAGCTAATTATACATGAGAATATTTATTGCTACTATGGTAAAATAGAAACAAAAACTTACCGATAAAAATACCTTGTTAAAGAACTGTGAATTAAATACAACAACCATAAGTAAATGAAATTGAATGGTAATAAATAAGCACATATATATATATATATATAAATCTAATTTAAGTGACATTAAACAATTCAATAATTTAATAATGAACGTGACGAGAAACATATAATTATACGAACACATGCGAACACGTGTTAAATTTAAAGTTACCCGTTTTACTTTATCGTCACAGAATTTCAACTCACAGGTAAAAAAAAAGAAGCTTTTTTCTTTAAATATAATGTGAATTAAAATGAATAAAAGGGAACATATCTAAAGTATAACGGATAAACTTAAACAACTTATCTTATTTACGCTCTGGTCCTATCCTTGTGCAATTCTGTTGAGAAATAATCATTGAATGAAAATTGAGCGGGAACACGTGTTTATATATGACAAAAGTCCACGAGGCGCTTCAAAGCATATTCTTTCGTATGTTTAAATATATGGTTGTAAAGATTTAAATGGCAAACCGTAAACAATGGACTGACTGTACAATCGAAACTCAATAAACAAATACATGTATTTTGAATGCAATAAATCAATTTAATTATTAGATCATTAAATTTTAATAATTTCCTGAGTTTTTTAGGTGGGGGTATCCGGAGTATGCGAAGAGAATCGCCGACCTTTGGCAGGAAAACTGGCAATCCAACTCAATTAAGATCGGAATCAAACGCACCTTTTACGAGCAGGGTTAGAACTTAAAATCTCAGTGTTGACAGGCTAGCGATCACTTAATATGCACTACTAAGATCACTCGGTCATCTCGTCCCCCTATACACGATGATGTTCATGATTAACTGTGGACACTGTGGGATATGTCTTTTAGATTCTTACACTTATACATGTATATAAATGGACATGAAAATGTTAAAGTTTGACTTTTCGTTTATTCATTATGCAATTTCTATCGCACTAGACTTTTGAATCATGATCCTGCGAACCGGATTTGGTAAAGTTGTCCTATCATGATCATTATGTTTTCGAGAATAGAGGCAAAAGATACCAAAATGGATAGTCAAAACGAACTGTTATAATTAATCTAAAGAAATAGGTTTTATTTATGAGCTGACGTGAATGTTATTGTTAAAAACATGTGGACACAGACTTGTGTTGTCTATTGGTCGAATGTTCACAACGATTTTTGCGGCCACATGGGTCTGATTCAGCAGGCAAGTGCCCCTCTTAATGCCAGTGGAAGAAACGAAAAACGACCAAACGTCAAACTACAGTCTAAAAACATAACATAGAAAAACTAAAGACTAGGCAACACGAACCCCACTAAAACCAGGGGGTTCTCAGGTACTCCGGAATGGTAAGCAGATCCTGTTCCACGTGTGGCACCCGTCGTGTTGCTTATGTAAGTACACACGCGGTGATGAAACTAATTCGGTAGATCCTTTTTGAGAAAAAGAGAACAGGATTGTGGTTACGACAATTGGAACATATCTGTCGTCATCTTCGTCATCTGTGAAACAGATATTCCATATCGGTCAACCAACTCGTGATTGCGTGATACTTGGACAAATATATGCTATATGCATTTCTTTGTTGCTGAAATGTTGCTACAAAGAAATAGAAATGGACTTCATGAAGTAACTGTATTAGAATAAAATGTTTAACAGCTGTCAACCAGATCATAGAACAGTAGCAGATCCATAATTTTACCTTAAAAGAGTCGAGAGGAAATAATGATATTTCATATTCATATGTAATATTTTTTTAGAATTAAGAGGGGCACTTGCCTGCTGAATCAGACCCATGTAGCCGCAAAAATCGTTGTAAACATTCGACCAATAGACAACACAAGTTGTGTCCACATGTTTTTAACAATAACATTCACGTCAGCTCATAAATAAAACCTATTTCTTTAGATTAATTATAACAGTATATATTGCATAATCTATACATGTCAACACATTCTATAAATGATAACATACTTCCTTAACATACTTTTTATGTGTTCTCAAAAAGACACAGGTAAATTTGGCAATCATCAGAGAAATATTACAAAACCAACTTGATTTTGGATTCGTTGAGAGATAGAGCAATTTCTCAGGTAAGTCGGAACCATAAGGACCAATTAGCATATCAGCTTCATTTAGAAATAGAGCAAATGTCTCAGGTAAGTCGGGACCATAAGGACCAATTAACATAACGACTTTCAACAGTTCGTTTATTTTCAAGTTTGTTTCATCTTGATTAATAAGAAATTTCATGAGACTAAATTAGCTGCATGCAATGTTTCATCTCGTCGACACGTTTATTACAATACTTTTTGATCCAAAAATAATCGTAATTAATTGATTATTAATTACTTAAAAACAACATAATTTATGTATATCTTGTTTACATGTCTAATTGATATTTTGTACAATTTCTAATTTGCACAGACAGTTCGTAAAAGTTATATATTATGATGCTTAAATGTACCTCTTAACTTAATTGCATAAACCAAACACACTCTTAAATTTTACTTAACCACTTTCATATTTTAGCATGACAAGGGGATATTATGGGAAAATATTAACTGTTTCCAATGATTTTGTCGTGTACAGAAAACACGAAACAATTAATGTTTTGTGAACTTAATTTTACTTCTTTTAGTTGCTCTTTCTTGAGTACTAGAATGTTTTACCACTAAGTAGGTAATCCGTCGAAAAATAAAATACTCCGGAGTAAAAAATAAGTTGTACGAAAATTGGCTATTGGTAGTGTTAACAGTGTCCCAAAGTCTCATATTAGTTATATGTTACCTAGGTTAGGGATCGCAAATGTCAACTATTCTCTATCTGATTTTACAACTGTTGTTTTTCAAATAACAAGATGCGTCGTTCATCATTTATTTAGTTTTGATGACACATATGACAACAGATGTTTTATTTCTTACTTTTTTAGTGTTTACTGTTCGTATGAGGTTTTTCAGTTCGTGATTTTAATTCATCAGTAAATGAATTATAGTCTTAAATTGTCCTTTAGATCTTAAAATTTCTTAAAACACTCAACAATAAATTATTTAGTCATGTTCAGTCTCTCAGTAAGTTTTTAGACTTGTCGACTGCGTTAAAATTTGGTACTGTTCATAAAATTCGTAAACATCAAAATTGAACTGTTTAGTAACTTTTAAGACAATTCAGTATGTTGTTTATGTGTACAGGTAAATACCATCTAATGAACAGTCGGAACATAGACTGAACAGATCTTAATTGACTGCAAACCAATTGTCCAAACAGTACTGAATTTACTGCAGTTTATTAGTCTGAAAATTAAAGACTGCATAATAACTTAATAATTTATCGGTCAGTTTTTAAGAACTGTTTAGTTCGAGATAATAGATTTAGATCAAAATTTGTTTACTAGTGATTGTTTTTTTTTTTTTTGACACATGTTTTCAGAATTGTACTCCGAATATCGAGTTGAGGTTCTATCTTTCACACAATTCGTGTGGTATTATTTTAATACTGATTGGAAATTAAAGATTGCTGACACCATAGTTCAATGTTAAGAGGGTGATTGATAATTTTTTCAATAAAGACATTATTAAAATAATTTTACATGTCAATTACGAAAGATCCCCGAGATAACTATATCCGATTTTACTGTTAATACTACACACCAGCATAGATATACTTAAAAAATGCGATTATTAGTTGTTTGAATTTTGAATATTTTGCTGGTAAACTTCCTCATTGAGACATGCTTTGCCACTAACAAGAACGTTATTGTATTTTCCCATTAACTGACCTGCAGAGGTCAGACAGAATATTAAAGATTTTGTTACCAAAATAAATAATATCGATCATTTATCTTTCACAAACAAGAAGTCTGGATCAAATACATTCATATGTCCATTTTGAAAAAAAAGACATATTTATTTTTTTGTTTAATGTGTTTTGTTTATTTTATTTGTTTTTTATTTGTTTTTGAGTAGACAAAAACACAAAGAAACATACTATGACATACAGTATGACACCATTTTCGAACATAATTATTCTTGCCAATCTGCTTATAATTAGATCTTTCACATTGCCCCGGTAAGATTGGCTTGTCGTTCGTGCAGATATGAAGACATGCTATAAGGAGTCATGTTCGGATGACATTTAAGCATCTTTTCAAATCTTTGTCTTCAAAATGTTTTGGTGTGTTTACTATGAACTATCAAAAGTATGGTCGGGTAATTAATGTAATATTTAAGGATATAGTCCGAAAATTCTATATTCCAACCACTTAATTTCCCGACATCTTTTCAATTTTGAGCAACGAACTTATCATAAACATTTCTCAACTTGGTGAACTAGTTAAGTTTTATTGTTTTATTCATTTTATAGTGACGAATCAACACATTTATTATCCTGCTAAAGAAGTAGGGTTGATGACCGAAGCAAAACCAAACAGACTTACTACATGTTTGTTCAAAATTTAAAGTTGGCTAAAAAAGAAAATAAAGGAAAATATCTTTGACTGTCTATAGCAAATATCAACTTTCCATTCTCAATTTCATTGATTACTTGATTTGTAAAATGATTTCTTAGAATATTCTAATTGATCAATTTTAATCGATTGACGATTGCTGTTAGGATGTCAAGTTAGTGAGTATAAAAAGGAGAAGACACCAATAAAAAAACAACTATTACAAAAAACAGACAACACCAGGCCAAAATAAAAAAGTTGAAAAGATAATCAACAATCCACAAAACATCACTCCGATACCTAAATACCGAACAACACGAGCGCCACAAAACTAGTGTATTCAAGTGTTCCGGAAAGGAAAAGCTGTTTCTGATCTTCTTGAATGGCAGAAAAAATTGTATCACAACAGCAAAGAAACGCAAAACGAGTTTACATATTACAGGATTCGATATATCAGCATGACATGTCTTAAATATAACCAACAAAAATCCTTGGAATGACTCAAGTGTAATAATATAAAGGAGACTCCAGAAACCTAATGCATTTAAATTTATAATATACCTGTTTCAGTATTTCCGATATCCACTACAATATCTTATTTGACAAAGATAAGTTCAATTATCATTGAACAATAATTTTTTTGTTTGTTGGTGTTCATGCCACTTTCAGCGAGTTTGTCTTTATCATGGCGGCTAGTTTTTGTCTGCGGAAAAAATCTGCTATCGGTTTTGAACTCAAAACCTCAGAGTTAACAAGCAATTGATCACTGTACATGCCCTACTCAGAAGACCTAGCCAACGAGGCTCTGGACAATTGTTATCAAATTGACAGTTTCATATGACCTATTATTCAATGAGAAAAGATGTTTCTTGATACTTGATTAAAAGAAAAGTTGATAGATAAAAGGAGGTGTGGGGTATACGATAATCAGGAAGCAACTCAACGACATAAAGGATACAAGTACGCTAAAGACATCTATAAGCTTGAGGTCAACATTCTTCAGTTTCTAACAATAAATAAGTTTCTATTCATTATATCAAGCTCGTACTCGCCCCAAATCTAAAAAAGCCAATACAGTATAAAGAGTGAATAAAAATTATTTCTCACAATTGTTTTTTGAGATGGAGTTAAGGGTATGTTTAAGCTATAGCTAAATTGTTCATATGATCCAGAAAATAATCAAAATTCACTTTCTTTTCTTGATTTTAGACAATAGCGTCAATTTAGATAAAATGGTGGCTCTTTCTTCCACGACTTTGAATTGCGTTCCGGTTGAAATAATAGTAATTCTACATACAATCTCCGTAATGATACTGATTCCAGTTCAGTCATATTATGTGATAGACAAAACGGCAAAGCAACACAATCAAGTTCACATATTAAAAGACTCGGAATCAGCTTGCCATGTGTCAAATGCAACAAATATTAATCATATAAACGACTCAAGTGTAATAATACAAAAGGAAGCTGCAGAGAACTTAATGCATTTAAGTTTATGCGTAACAATTGTTTCAGTGATTCCGATATTCTTGTTTGGGTACCTTTCAGATGTATATGGAAGAAGACAAATGTGGACTGTATGCGCCTGTGGCACCCTGGCTAAAGAGATAATTTTACTGCTGACTGTAGTATTAGAACTTCCTACTTGGGTGTTGTATTTTGGACAAGTTATTTTTGCATTGACAGGAACATACAGTGGTGCAATGGTTATAATCTTTGGAAGTATTGCCGACACAACAACTGAGGGAAAAGATAGAAGTTTCCGGATCACCGTTGTACAAGGAACAGGAATGCTAACAGCAGCAGTTACAACTTTTGGAATGGGTTTTTGGATATTAGAGGAAGCGTTTAGATATCCAATTATAATGACATTGTTCCTAACAACTATCAATCTCGTTCTTGGACTTCTTATGCTACCACAGAAAAAACAACCTGCAACCAAACTAAAGACAGTTCTTGCTCCATTTAAAATATACATTGATGCAAATTCAGAGAGAAGACGTAAAATGTTTCTGTGCTTAGCTGTTTTTCTGCTGTTATCTTCGTGTTTGGTTGGCAAACTTGGATATCAGAAATTATTTCTTATGCGAAATCCGCTCTGTTGGAACGTTCTACATGTGCAAATACTACGTGCTGTGCAAACACTATTCAACACCATATTTGTCATTGGAGTTGTCCGCTTACTCCTACGCATTACGTCAGAGAGTATTATTTTAATCGTTGGCATAATTTCTACAGTTTCATACTTGATTGTGTTTGGTTTTTCGATAAATGACTTGATGGTATATTCACGTACGTATAAGAAGCCATTCAATTCAATTTAAAGATAAGCATGATTTCGTAATTTAAAAAAAAAGAATTGAATAATGACATGAATAGAGAGTTGAAAAATAATAAAACTAAATTAAAACCTGTTACAACAGGTTGGTTATTATTTCATAAACAAATTGTGGTTCATTTGTTAATATACATGTTACGAAAAAGTATACACTCGACGCTGAGATTGACACATTGGACTTTTAATGTGGGGACTGTGTCAAAATTTGAATCCTATGCGTGATGTTAACCAGCTATTCCATTCACGTTGTTTGCTCATTTAAATTATATTAATTAAGAACGTCTTAGTGGTCATCGAGCGTGTTAATCATTTTATGATTTTATTACTTGTGAATATAAGAAGGAAAAGATGTACTTTTGTTGGGGGTTGATGGTAATGCAAGTATGTACTTCTAGATTGATATAATTTACATTGTAAGCCAGTTTGATTTTTTCTTTTTTACAGTTTTGGGAAAAGTTTAATCTGTCGCTATACTAAACCGGCACAAAGCCCTAAAGTCTGATTGTTTTTTCCCAGGATTTCTGAAGAGCATGTTATTCAGTGGTTGTCGTGTGTTGGTGTCTGTCATATTTGTTTTTTGGTAACTGTTCTGTTATAAATATAACATTTTTTAGCTGACTATACGGTATGGGTTTTGCTCATTGGTAAAGGCCGTACGATAACATATTATGGCTTCATTTGGACTCTGTTGGATAGTTGTCTTATTGACAATCGTAAAGTATCTCCTTATTTTAAATAAGGGTAATTACGATTTGCCTTAAAGCTTATCTTTTAAGAAGAGACGAACTTATAGTCAAATAGACAGGGTATTATTTTTTTTTTGACGTTTTGAACATTCATGTAAAGACTCAGGATGGTCTAACCGGGTCGAACGGGTCAGAGGAAAAGTCCAAAAAAACAAAGCATCGGCCAAAAAGAAGGCACAAAGACAAACCAAGAGAAAAAAAACCTTCCACACTGTTACTGGAGAAAATGAGAAACACGGACCCTATGAAAACTGGAGCAGAAATTATCAGATTTTCTCTGCAACTTCAATGCGACGTGTTTAAAGTCAAAATTAGATAATACATGTATATTAGATCCTTTAAACAGGCCCAGTTGGATGAAGATATTGATGGTAGTAGAGATAAAATTAGATATAATAATTTCTTTTTTCTTTTTATCATAACAGATGAAGAAAAAGAAACAAATATTGCAGAAATATTTGCGAGTTACAAATTGATCATCTGCAAGGTGCAATAGTAACTTGCGGGGACGTGATATTAATCATGTGTAAAATTTGCCGAAAAATCTATAAGGGTCTTCCTATCAAAAATCTGCAAAGTATATTCGGAATGAATCCATAAAAGGAGGGGCACATGTTCTATGTATATTGTAAATACATTGTGCAAAGTTTGAAATCTCTTAGATAAGAGGTATTTGTTTTGCACAAAATGGGTACCTGTTTTCCCGCTCACCTGCATGTCAACCCAACAAGCTGCAAACCCAACTTTAGTCAAATTATATGACGGTTTTGCAATGTGTGCAACACGTTCAAAAGTTTGAAAATTTAGAAAACTTCCATTTAGTTAAAAAGTCCGTCGCATTCGATTTTGAAAACGCAAATATTAAACTTGCTAAGCTCGGCTTCCTACCTATCCTTTCTTCAGTGTCCATTTCTTTTCTGGAATCCCCTTGCTCCTCTAAGTGCTCCAAACGGAAGAACTATTTTGGAATTCATAATATTCATTATAATATCATGGAATATTGTTTTCATTAAGATTAATATATAATGAAATGGTATTTGATAATGTAAAGGACAACTGTTACAAGTGATTACTTATGTTCGACATACGTACTATATAGTTTAAACACAAAATTAAATGGATACATATGTAAATTAAATCTTTAATTCCCGTTTGGGATTTGATACGATACCCACATTCAAAGTATAATTTGTCAACCTCAGCGTCAAGTATATACCACTTCGTAACACGTCCATTAACACAAATAGGTCAAATTGCAATTATAATGTAACATTTCTTAGTCGTTATCTTGGATTTGTTTTTAATGCTCTTCAACTTTGCACCACTGATGAGTCTTTTGTAAATAAAACGCGCGTCTGGTTCTCCAAATTATCAGCCTTGTACCTTTGGTGAGTTTTTACCTGCAATAAAATAAGAATAGTATGAATAACTTATAATGGACATAAAACTCTTCCTTCAATATGTATTTCTTCATTTACAGCAAACGTGACCGCTTAGAGTTTGAATAAACGAATTAAAAGATGGAAAATTCAAGAGGAGAAATTTTGTTATCAGACATATATAGCCTCAACCAGATTTGACACAACGTTTTGAAATTTTTTATTTCAATGCTCTTCTTAAACTTCGTTATGAATTTTAACGAGATTTTAAGTGATTTGATCCCAACACCAATGATTAGACTTGTGTAGACAAACCGACCGTCTGGCGATCTAAATTATAAACCTTGTATATTTTATGACTTTTTACAAATGAAACAAACGTAAAATAAAATAAAATAAATACAAAGAGCAGTCAAACTGTGAAAAGTTTATTTAAGGGTTCAGGTTTTTTAATTGTCACTTTTTTCATTATTAAGAGATACAAAAACACATATGACATATATAGAGCAGAAAATATACCAAAAAGAGATGCATTTTATGTACGTGCATTATTTTGAAAGAAACATATTTATGTACATGTAAGTTCAAAATAACGTGAATAGGACAGGGTTAGCCTTTAGAAGAAGCAGACAAAGGTCTTGTCTACCAAATATAAACATAACGTGTTTGTCTGCTTCAAATACATTAGTTTAGCTTTGGAAGCAGTCAAAATGTCTGTAAGTATATTTTTTGTGCATGTTTGACCTTACCGATCTTTTTCAGATGTGATAGTAGGCTGTATGTCAATTGCAGTGTTTCCTATGCTAAGAGCCACTCTGTCTAAACTTGTTAGTTCTGATGAACAAGGTGATTGGTACTTTATTGATTAATTTGTGTGGTTGTTATTTTATTGAAAAATTATTTAACTGATTTCCATAGACTGGATATTCTGCTTATTTCAGGGATTCTAATTACAATAAGCAATTCTTTCAGTTAAATTTTGAAATACAAAATGCATGTAACTAGATTATATGATATCAATGTCACAATCAACAAAGATAAGATAGTAAATGCTACAATGATGTCACTGTTGTGGCCTTTCTAGACCAGGTCAAAATCAAAGGTTAAAATCAACTGACAAAACCTTTAGCATTAAAATAAAAAAAACAAAATATCAATTCGTATAAGCCACTGCTGGTGGATGTTTCGAAGTCACTGCTGGATGACGTTTCGAAACCACTGCTGGTGGACGTTTCGTCCACGAGGATAACAACAATCCAGTAGTCAGCTCTTCTGTGTTGACATTAGATATCAATAATGTGGTCAATGTCTGTATGAATTCTGCTTCATATGTGTACAAAAAGGTCTTTTAATTGAGACGATGTAGTCCCAATTAAGCATGGGTAATAAAAGTGTAAAGAGAAGTAAAATCAAAGGTTTGGTTATTACTACAAAATTATACAGCGAGTGATTGAAATGGAGAAGATCTCTGGAATTTTAAGAAATTTAAATACACAATTATGAGTAAAATAATATTTTTTGTTTATTTTGTTATAAATATTTCTTTTATTAATCATTGTTGTGGACCACATACAAGAATTGAAGTTGTGACGTATTAGGACAAAAAACAGCACGTTATAGTTGTCTTTATCTAAAATTACGGAATCATTTTGTACCATCTATGTAATGCAAATATGTGCATTCAAAACATTTTTATTTTATTGACAGGATCCGTCTTTGCAAGTATGGCATGTTTAGATGAACTTGTTGCAGCATTTGCTCATCTTACTTACGGGAAACTGTACACATTTTCTGTAGCTAGGTTTCCAGGATTGATTTTCTTAGTGATGGCAGGTGTGTCAATCATTACGCTATTTGGAGCTATGTAAGTGTAGTAAAACATGTTGAACTTAAATGTTTGTATTTAATAAACAAAGAAAAGGGCGAATTAAAGATAAATAATGAAAAATCAAAACGGGAGCAAATCCTTCCTTCACAAGAACAAAATACAAATGAACTCCCACCAAAAAAAGTTGTAATTGAGATTTTGATTGAAATCAAATCATTCGCTTGATTGACGTATAAAGATGCATTGAATTAACAAGAAGTAACACTTTTATCTAGTTCACAAACTTTTATAGATCTTTATATATCTTTGAAATTAGAATATTTTTTTAACAAAACAAACAAAAAATCAAGGTCGATTTCAGAAAGGTGGCTAAGGCTTTACAAAATATCTGAAATATTTACAAACGCAATGATACACTAACCAAAACATGTAAAAATAATATATATATAGACATTATGTATTATGGATCAGATACAGGATGTCTAAGTACGTCAAACACTGTAAAATAAAATTCTCAAATTTTCTCAAATATGCAATTTTTTTGTCGTATATATATATCATATATTTATAATCATGATATTGTAGAGTACTTCATGGTTGGATGCATAAAGATCACAAGGATACAAAGGAATCAGTTATAGAGTTGAGTTACATTAAATCTTCAAGTTTCTCCAGGGATACAACGGAAACAGGAAATGCAATCTAATTTTTTAAAAATATTAGAAGCTTTAACTACACTATGTATTACAACGTTATGTTAACCTCAAAAAGTTATTAATTCAAGCAACTCGTATAAAATATCAAAACGATTGGATTTTCCGCAAGGTTCGAATTATTTTATGTGGATACCATCCACAAAACATGATCAGAATCATTAAACTAAGGTTGTGACTCCTTCAGTTGAAGTTGTCTCCAAACATGTGTTTTATACTTCTTTTTTTCTTCTCCCAATATTTTCTAGTTTTTGGTTTCTTTAAACTTTGAACTCGGACAAATAAAGTAAAGTTTATCCCAGAAACACGTTTCATGTATACTGAAATCAGTATCATATATCTATAGTTTTTTTACTAGTCTCTGCATTAATGTACAGTGGAATATATTAAGACAGTGTTGAAAAATCTCACCAATAATATCAGGCTTTTAATTTAGTACGCCATATGCGCGTATCATCAACACAAGGCTCGAATCAAAACAGTAAAAAAGTAAGGAAGCTGAAACCGGTTAAAGTTTTCATGCAAAAAATTGATGTTTTAACACTTATATCAAGACCAAAGGATTTTTTTATTGTATTGGAAACCTCCTTCGACATAGCACTTACATAGCAGACCATTATTTCTTTGCAGCTTTTTAAAGTTCAACAAGTAGTGTATATATAAAAATAAGAAGATGCGGTATAATTGAGAGTGAGACAACTATCCACCAGTTAACAACTGTAGGTCACAGCACAGCCTTCAACAATGAGCAAAACTTATCCAGCATAGTCAGATATAAAAGGCCCCGAAATGACAAATGTAAAACAATTCAAACGAGAAAACTAACGGCTTGATATATGTAAAAATAAACAATGAACGAAATAACAATATGATATACAACAACAAACCACAACCAATGAATTACAGGCTCCTAACTTGAGACAGGCACGTACAGAATGTGGCGGGGTTAAACATGTTTGCGGGCGCCCAACCCTCCCCTAACCTGGGACAGTACAACATGTGAACAAACTGTTGAAAAGGGCTTAACTCATCAGATCGATACAAAACAGACACACAAGTAACAAAAACACAGACCGGACATGACAGGCTATTTATACATCCCTACAACAAAAATGTCCTGGAAGTTACTGACAGATAGTTCAAAGCCAATAACAACTAATAAAATAATATGCGTTGAATATGTATAATATTATCATTTTGCTGCATGGTGTATGATAGTTGTATATCAGGCATTTATTCAATAGTTTGCTTAAAATATTGATTTTCGTTTTAAGTGGTTTTTGTTTGTTTGGTTTTTTTTATTGGAAGTTATTATAGTTTTTTTTCAAATTGGTCACAAATTCTTGTGCGAATATGCAAATAAGAAATAATTTTACAGGGTTATTGCATTTAAACTAGGAAATATTTCTCGAGAAGAAATTATATAGCAAGATTTACGAGTACAACAAATATTCTACGAGGAATTATCATAGTATTTGAGAAACAGTGTCATTAAACACTGAACTTTTTCCTTATTATGACTGAAAATCTTTTCTTTTGATACTTTGGTATTTTGCAGCATATATAATTAGTTTTTCATATGCACCTGCCTGGAGTTGAATTCCCACAGTTTCCATAGCAACAGTAAAAATTTAAGTTTGAAAACCATGTAAACTAATAAAAATATATTCGTCCATGAACCTCTTGTTGTATGACAAAACTTTACAAAGGAAAATACAAGCACAACTTGGTTAACAGTCTTTAAAATCGCCATTGTCAAATTATATTAAAATAATGGGGAGTAACACTAAGGAGATGATCATTTAATTTTTAATCTGGGGGAAGGGGAAGAGAGATTGTCCGCGGACGGAAAATGTGTTTTCGCCTTTTGATTAGTAAGCTTATATATATCGCGCATACTATCTATGAATATCATTAGTATTATTGTTATAGTAAAACGTCAATAGGGATTGCAAAGGGAAATAAACAAGATAACAATTATCGCGTATATCTTCACTATCTGAAATTAAGTTTAAAACATGGATAAATGACTTTATTCTTAATCATATTGAGTTATTTCTATAATATTTCTTAAGTTGACACATTAAACGGCATATTTTCTTCAAAAATGAATAAATAGAAATATAAAATGACTTTCCGTGTGCGTAATGACAACAGCGGTGCGTGATCGTATCCATCGGGTTTCAAATAAAATAATAAAGGGTCGGTTGTACGATGTGAGACTGGTGTCTATTTGTTCGTCTTTTTAGGTGATGGTATTTTCAGTCTTTCACGGACTTTGATTGCACAATTTGTTATCTTCTGCCATATTTTAACCCACCAATTTTGATATGCATTGTATATAACATTTTGTATTTTCTGTATATGATATGAGTTTTATTCTTTATTATTGAATACTACAATGTAAAAACACTTTATTTTTTGAGAACGAATGTAAAAATGATATATCGCCAAAATAACGATATCAAATTTGGAGAAGGTAGGATTTTGAAACAAATTAAAGCAACCCCGAAATCGAATATTTTTAGAACTTGGATTATTAGTCTCATTGGCACTCATACCACATCTTCTTATATCGAGTTTAACAAAACAATGATGTTTTGGTTACAATTATAGACTTTTCATGAATTATACAGCCATGAAATGACAGTAAAATTAATGGAATGGTGAAATTATGCAAAATTCTGACTATTTGACGCGAACATTCATAGAAATAACATATACCACAATCGTCGCCGGCAAGAACTTGGTTTGGATGACGCTTGTGTTCTTTGTAAATTCAGCTAACATGTTCCTACAACTAGCCTAGAAAGATTTTGCATTTGGTCTTAATATATAGAAAGACGAGTCTTCGTATATCAAAGCCTCAAACTGAACATATACCAAGGTTTGAACCCAAACAATGAACTCAGTAACCACTAGGATACTTATAATATCGATATCAATATAACCAGCGCTATCACAAACTAGATGTTCGTTCATTTTTGTCTCTAATAAATCAAGAACATCGTAGACAGCAATTCGTTCTTTCAACTCATTTACTTCATGAATGCTAGTGCATTAAAAAGAGACAGTGAGTTAAAGGTGCAGTCTACTTTCTCTTTTCGCTGAAATTATTGCCTATTTTTAGAATTTAAAAAAAAAAACTGTCGCCGGGGTCAGAGATGGAAATTGATGCTTTAAAAAGATCAATCTTTTATCTTTCTGTGGATTTTGTTTCGGCGGAACTTATGCTTATGCACAAAAAAGATCCAATTGTATTTGCACCTCCCACAAACGACTGTTTTATGAAAATTTGTCTATAATTTAAAAGTTTACATATATGTCGAAGCTCTATACTATAATTTAAGTAAAAACACGTATATAAGATGCATAACATCCAAATATATGCACCTTTATAAAACTTTTAAAGCCCATAGATACAGATTTTGGCTTTTTAACCTTCTCTAACAAAGAGTTCCATTTCTTTTGTTTAATTTCAACTGAGTATTTTTTTTTACATTTGTTATGTCGAGGCCTTCTCTAGCTTGTTGTTGTACGGGGTTTGTTCATTGTAGAAGGATGAACGGTGACTTACAGTTGCTAAATTTAATGAATAAAATATACTAGGTGTTATTTCCCAACCAAAAATAGCCGTGGATGGAAAACCCTTTTTCTTTACATGTCCATAATAAATGATAAAAGTATCATGTTTTTTGTATTTAATAGTGAGTGTTAGTTAACATCCAATTGAAACAGATTGAACGATCAAAATGATTTGAATATATATTTATATAACTTGTGTAAAGGGGAGACAACACTGTTAACTTCCTGTTTTGTTGTTTTTCTAATGTTCAAACTTAGAAAGAATTTCGTTCATAATTTTATACTCGAGTATATCACAGATTTTTCGGGCTTGGCACTGCTCCTATCACGGCGCCTATTTTTTGCTTATAACTTTTAATTAAAATCAAAAATGTTGTTCTCTAAAATTGATCTGAAGAGATAGATTAAATCATCCGTAGGTGGACATTTGATTTTGTAATCTGATTTATCAAACTGATCATACGAAATTCTAACTGCCGATAATAATTCACAAATCGGGCAATTAGTGTACATTGATACTACATCAAAGCTAGAAAGCCAGCAATCTGCAATAGGCTTAATCCTTTCAAACTTGTATATTAGATCAGACGTATCTTTTATATAAGTGTGTTGTTTCTGTACTATAGGTACTAGAAAATAATTGATATAGCGTCCAATAAATGCCGTGACAGTACCAATCTGAAACATGGCGGCATTATGTTTTCAATGTTAAACCTATATTTATTTATTTTTACTAATTCCGATTCATTTAATCGATGTATTTTAGGCAAGATATGCATATACCCAGGCCCATAATTGATTTGATTACCATTATTAAGGTAATTAAATGTGGAGTAATCTATAACACCTTTGGTGTACCTGCCTTTCACATATGTATTGATATTAATCTAAGTGCTTTTAGGTCAAAATTTTCCAATTTGGTGTAATATTGTGTATTTTATTGGCGATCGCCTTCAAGTAGGTAATTGACCTTGTCTAAAATAACAACATTATTGCTTTTATCGGCTTTCTTAATTATTAATGATTCATCATTTAACAGAGAAGAAATGCCGGACCTCTGTGAAACACTTAAATTGTTTCGAAATTTTCGAATTTGCATTGAAGATAATTCGTACTTTGTATTAAACAGGTAATTTTCAAGGGTGTTGCAGGTCAAAGGTGGTGTGTGTCCAAATTTAACTCTGAAGGGATAAATTTTATCCAAGTTACCATTATATAAGTAACAACATCTCATTTTCCAGGCTAATTCATCGAAATCATGTAATAAAACCTGCTTTGCCTTTTGACTGACGGTGAAGGAATGAATTTCAAACCTCTGGATGATACCAAATACTCGTCATCAGTTAATTTTCTATGCGAAAGATTAACAACCTGTTTTCTAGCTTGTGATAGCATAAATTTTAGCTCCCTCTGCTGCATTGCAGCTTTATTTTTCAGCCTTCGTTTATGTTTATTTCTTTTTGCATATTTCTTATAATGTCTAGCCATTTCTGTGATCACATAGACTAGTATCTGAAAGACTATTATCAATGCAATATCACCAAAACAAAATGGTAGGAGGCGTGGTGTATTTGCCTAAACTGATTTGCATTGGCTCAGTTACGTCTGTAATTATGTTAAGAGTAACAAGTACTTCAATACATAC